TTGGAAATTTAATTTGAAATTTAATATTTATTTTTATTTTTATTTTTATTATTAGATTTTGATAAATAATATTATTTTCGTTCATCGAATTTAAATATTTTTTAAACTTGAATTGATTAAAAAATTTGTGATAATTGGGAAAAATTGATATTATTGATAATAGGATAAAAAAATTCAAATTATTGATGATTTTAATTATTATGAATCTGCGTCTTACGTATTGTAGTTACAATTTCGTTCGCTAAATTTTCTGTTATTACTATTATCACTTGTACAATGTTCTAATATTTTGAATTTTTACAGGATGGATTATCATCTTGACGTAGAGTTGAGATAGATAACAGGCAAAGCTACGTGGAATAGTAGCTTTGATAGTTTCACAACTGTGTTAGAGCTGCTCGATGATCAGCATGCTGATATGCTCGCCAGTCCTTCCTGTGGCCCTTGTACCCGTTGAGAGATCTGCAGTACTCGGGTCAGATTATTGAAGTACTTCTATGTTGATTGCTAAGTCCAATCGATGGCGATGCCCTCCACTTTGCAATCGGGGGTAAAGTCGCTAGTTTTTCGATGTTCGAGTTTACTCTGATCACGGAATTAAATATTACAGGCGATGAAGCAGCTGGTGATGGGACTCAGAGAAGAAATAGGTTTCATGACGCTTACTTCGAGGGACAGGGAACTGTGCTTCTTACACAGCTGTTAGACGCAATCAAGAGATGTGATCAAATGTTAGACAGACTGAAGTTAGGTCTGGTCCATATCCTTGAAAGCATGGTGCGATGTCACCATAAGAAGACTGCGATCGACCTCTTCCATCTGGACATCGTTGACGACTTCGATCGTTTCAATGACTATCCGTGGAGCCGGAGATTGTTTGAGGACACCGTACACGTCTTCACCAGATCGCACTCGAAGTTGAAGAGAGCCATGCGTAAGTACGACACCTATGGATTGCCCCTACGGTGCAGGTAAATGGTTAACATAATGAATGTTAAAATTATTTTCATATTGAATTTATATATAATGATTGTATGTGTTGCAGATCTGGGCATATGAGACCGTCCCCATATTGGGTGCCCGCTTTACGAGGCTAGGGAAGACATGCTGTCCTCGGATGCACCATTGGAGAGTATCTCGATCGGAGGGATATCCCACTGGGAAACAATTATCGGCTATCCTCGACGACCCTCAGTTGAGTATTATGCGTTTGTAATTTATATTGTGCGTGATTTAACATATAATTGCATGATCGTTAACTAGTTCAAATGTTAATATGTCAGCTTGAAATCATAACTGAGTTGACTCCGTCGATGGAGGAGGAGGCTCAAGGTCTTGTGCCTGAATTAGGCGTTTCGCACACTCAAGAAGACCAGATGTCCGATCCGATCCACGATCGAGATTGGCTGAGCGAATTGAATAAAATCTATTGAATACCGTTTTGTATGAGTTAGCAATTACGGATTAAGTTAATAATTTGTAATGTTGTTGCTTGTGTAGGAGCGTGATCCAATTGATCGAGGATCACCTCCGTCGAGGGCATCACCACCTCTGCCGAGGGCATCACCTCCTTTGCCGGAGATGCCGCCTCTCCCGTCCAGAGAACTTTCTCGTAGATCTCCCGCACATAGTCAGGGGCACTATTTTGATTATCTGTACGCCCGTCTAAGCAACATTATAGCGGGACAGGTCGACCAACTACGTCGAGAGATGATAGAGAGGGTTGATGATCTGGGACGACAGTTGGTAGGAAGGGACGAAAATTTGTCGAATGAGATAGCACTTCGAGGTGATATAGCCGGTGGGAGATAGGTTGAAGGAGACGGTGATCGAGGGGTTGATCAAGAGGGTGATAGGGATGGGGGTGATAGAGATGGGGGTCTCCGGCAGTCATACATACATGATGATGATGCATGGAAATCGTTTATTTTATCCATAGAGGAGGGGGCCGTCGGGGAGGGAGACGGTGGCAAATGAGGGAGTGGCCCCGTCGGGGATGGAGATGGTGGCAGATGAGGGGATTGAGGAGGTGGCGAACCCTGGGTGGAGGAGGTGGCAGTTTATAAGGCAAAAAGCGTGTTGTTAACATGCCGAAGACGGTGGTCGGCAAGAGGCCAAGAGTGCCGTCACAATACGTCGTCTCTCCCTTCACGGCTGAGGCGAAGAGGAGGAGATTCGTCGATGGGACGTACCCCAATCTGTTTCGGGAGGTCAACCATGCCAAGTGGAAAGCATTCGAGGATGAGTGGTGAAGAATGTTGCCCGGGTAAGTATTGTAGGATTTCATAGACTACCAGAACTCGTATATACTTCGTTTAACGTTTTTTCAATTTTATTTCCAGAGCCACGCACGTGATAGCCGGAATGACGATATTGGATGCATACAAGTGGTTCCATGATATCAGCACTCAGGAGGCTTGGCTCGTCGACGATGTAAGTAAAGTGTTATTGTTACTTTTTGTATACATTATATTTAATTTGGTAAATGAAATAAGTATTTATGTCTTTGTTTTCCTTGATGTAGCACATCTACATGGCCATGAACTTGTTGTGCGATCGAGTTGAGAGATATCCATAATCATTCCACAAGTCTGGCCGCATAATACTAAACACCGAGTTCTTCCGTGCCGTTATCATTAAGTATCAGTCGCTCCAACTTCTAGGTAACGAGTACGTACTTCCCACGTATATGCTCGAGTGGGTCATCGGGCTGTCACCGAGTGTTACGAGAAAGCCATGGGAGAGTTGTATGCATTTGTATATTCCAATTATCGCGAATCAGCACTGCATTGCACTGGAGATCGTGTTCCCCGATTCAACAATATATGTGTACGATCCCGATCATTCATGTCTGACACAGGGACAGCTTGAGCAGAACTTAGAGCCAGTGACTGTGATTGTTCCTATGATGACTAGACATGCGGGCTTGACTGTGGATGACAAACTAGTCATCGTGTGGGACACAACAACGGCGAGATAGTCTATATCGTAAGTCTTTGTAATTTTATTTTTTTGAATTTAGTAATTAGTTCGTACGTAATTGGAACCGAACTAACACATATTTGTTCATTTGCAGGGGCGACTGTGGGATTTTCGCAATCAAATACATAGAATTTTTTAGTATAGCACATAAGGTTGATGGAATCAATCAATCATGGATACAGAATTGGCGAAATAAGTTAGCGTGTGATTTATACGAATTTAATTGTGAACCATAAATTATTTGTAAATATTTTTTTGTGATTAATATTTGTAATTATTTCTTGTGATTATTTGTAACTATTTTTCGCAATTGTTTGTAATTATTCATGTGAATACTGTTTATTTCAATGTAAATACTATTCATTTCAATGAAAATACACAGTGCTCTCACTGTCATTTAGAAGAACCTGACTTGTACAAAATTGGTGAGTATGTCCTGCTGATTTGCACCTGATATACCTACGCGGTCGGGGAAACTCTCCATTAGATGGTATTCTAGAAGTACTTGGATGTTCAAGACCACGTGGTTTAATGAGAGGTGGCGACAATGTATTGAACGGGCGAATATGATCGGGAACTTCCCACTCGACATTGTTTGGAAGCGGAAATATGGTTTCAACATACGCAGCTCTCTAATTTTCAGTAGTATAATAAGGAGAGCACAATGTTCTTGCTGCAAATCCTCGATACATAGCCACCGCAACTGCATGATCACATGAAAAACTCTCTCTGAAATTGTTTACAAGTGCATGTCCCATCACTTAAACTACCATATATGCCGTATGACGTGCACATTCCACAGAGAAGTGTAACTCGTCTAGTGGTTCGACATTTAACTTTCTCGCAGCCTCTGCAGCCTTGAAGAGCTTTACCTCTTATGCTGGGGCTAGCACGCTTATGCAATTATGTGATTCCGCACGTTAATCGTGAAACCATTGTTGCAGCTTTGTACGGATATTCTCAATCAGTGCGAGAATGAGTAACTCTCGATCCCTCTTAAATAATGCATTAAGAGACTCTATGTTGTTTGACGTTATCATGTTGTATCGACGTCCTGGAAAATATGAGCGCGCCCAATGTTCAATCCCCATTTTTGTTAGATAGTCCCATGTCGGGAATGATTTGCTTCATATTTCAACCATGTACCTATTACACTCTTCAATACTGTAAGTTTTGGCCGCTCTCCTAAACAATAAAACGATGTCTTTGCCCCGATACCTGGTCTTCAAGTTGCCTTGTATATGGTACATGCAATACGCATGATGTGCATCGGGAAAAACTTCAGCAATATTATCTATTATAGACTATCCTCGATTAGCGATAAATGTAAGGTCCTCGACTTCTCCGATTGCTTCCCTGAGCTTTGTGAAGAACCAACGCATTGACATGTTATTCTCGTTATCAACTATGCCAAATGCAAGAGAGTAAATTTGAATGTTAACATTTTGACATGTAGCAATAATCAACTTGCCTTGATATTTGGATTTTAGAGTTGTACTGTCGACTAGAATTAGGGGTTGCATACCATTTCGAAATCCCCGAATGCATTGTCCAAGAGCCATAAAAAAGAATTTGAAGCAGTTCGGCCTCCGTCTCAATAAAAAATGCCTAGCCAGGATTAGTTTTCTCCATGTTATGGCAATACCTGGCCAATTTAGCATAGCTTTCCTCTGCTGAGCCAGTTAAATCCTCCAACGCGCATTCTTTGGCCTTCCCAGGCATTTTGGTAGCTCATGACTACTCCATACTCTTGACGAACATCGTTAATGATGTCCGATGGTCTGTAGATTGTCCGTGGATCCTGATACTTGTGCATCATCTGTCGACCAATAAACCAAGCTCGGGCTTGCCTGTGATCATTGCGACAAACTCCCACTTCACAAGTACGTTCTCGTGTATATTTACGAATTACGAAGCACTCGTTCGTGTCCATCTTCGTTGCTCGCAAACGCCAACTGCAACTATCATCTACGCATGATAGCGTCAACAACGACTTATTTGATTTTTTCACTCTAAACTTAAAGTTGTTTTTCAGTGCAATTAGGTGCACGGCTTCTTCCAAAATCTTTCTTCGTTTCAAACAGTTGCTCGACATACAAATCCTCATTATCAGGAACCACACGTGAGGAGTTAGAGGACGGTCCACTCGATCTAGCCCTCGAGGTCCCACCCCACTCATGTCTCTGCCGAGATAAAGCAATCAAGTCCTTGTTTGTAAAAGTATTTGCATTTTCATTCTCGCTGTCACGAGCAGCGAAGGGGATTCTGTGTGCAGCTATCTCTAAAATAACCACATCATCTTCACGAGCTATCTCATCGTATCCCAAAAATCATTAGTATTGTGATTCCCACCTCCCAAGTCTACTTGATCATCTTCGACGATATCCTTCCTTACTAAAATTATGCAAAGAGGAGTCGTGTGTTTATTGTTTAATTCAATCAGATAATTCACTTCATCAACAGAAGAAATCTTTATAGGTGGAATCGGAACTGATGCATGCTCGCTGAATTTAAATTTCAATTCCATGTTGTCTTGAGAATGATCAACATTCAACTTGTTCTATAAATCATTATAGAGTTCTTCATACGATGTACCCGATGATAAGAAATTGCGATACCACCACGTTTAGCACTTGTCCATTTCCATACCCATTGATCTCTTTCGTCCAATTCGAAATCACCAAAGTAACAAACTGGGACTACAACCATATCTGCATATCGAAACAGAATTTTCAATTATAAGAAAAATATCAACAGCAATAAAAATAACCCAAAAAATGGGAAAAAAGAAAACAGTTGACTAACAGCCGGTCAAACAGTCGACTATTTGGCCGACTATTTTCCTGGCTGTTTGACCCACTGTTTAACAGCCGGTTAAACAGTAGATTCACATGCGCCGACATTTATGCAGGTGAATTTTTTCTGGTCAAATACTTAAAAAATTACAGATCTATTAAATTTTTTTATATACTAATCATTAAATGTCGAAATACAATTTTTCGATTTAAACATACAATAATTTAACGAAAACAAGATTAAATTTGCGTATATAAACTTACCGAACCGATGAGATTGATGTCCACAAATTTTTCGACTTCCGATTTCGATAAATTTTTTAGTTTCTGCAGTTGGAGCAGATGAAGGATGAGAGTATTTTATTTATCTGTGCTGGAGTAAACAGATAAGAAATGTAGGAAGTGTTTGATTTTTATTTGTTAAGTGAAAGGGTATTGATGTCTTTTAAAAAAACCAACTTTTGTAATTGTATAATGTATTTAAGGGTATTTTTGTCTTTTAACATTAGATAGGTCATTTTCATAATATCCCTTTGTTGAGAAGTCAATGTGAAATTTAGATGATTTGACTAGGTCAATTTTAAAAGTACCCCTATGCTTTTAGCATGTAATTTAGTTAAGTGCTAAAAATTTTTGAAGCCACTGGACAGTTCAAAGAAAATAAGTCTTGGTGTAGACTTAAATTTTCAAAGACGATGACAGTGTGGGGAAATCTAGAACGGGGTGATTTAGAATTGAATTGAATTCCAAATTTCAAACACGTGATAATGGTGTTGGTGGTGATGACAGCAACGAGTCGATGGTGTTAAGAGAGAGCGAAATCTTTTTTGTTTTCAATTTTAATTTTATACTGAATTTATTTGGGACTCTTGTACTTTAAAAAAAATGGGATTATAGTTGCAATTACTTATTTATTTATTGTTCTTTCTTTTTTTTCTTTTTTTGGTTATATTTAAAAGGAGGGTATATTCATCATTTCAAAAAAATTATTAAGAAAATGGATGGTAGAGAATATTTCACACTAGACATTTCAAATATGGACGTTTTGTGCTATTTCCAAAGGATAATTATATTACCACCACAAAATTTATAAAGTGCACCACAATTTTTAATTTTTTCCTTATTTAATTACATAGCCTTAAGAAAAATTACATTCTTCGGGTTAATGTACTTTTAATTAATCACCACATCATAATCGCACCATAAACCTAAATCTAATTTCTTCTTCTCCTTTTCTATAATTGCTAGTGTGTGTCCCACTTCAAAGAAGTGGGTCTAAATCTCTTTGTTAGTGAACTTGATTTATAATTTCAAAGAGTCAATGAAATGATTTAAAAGTTATTAAAAGAAGAAGGGTCAAATTACAATACACACACACATAGATGCATATCTGCGGTCTTTATTTTATAATTCCTAGAGAGATTAAACTTTTAAGGATGGAATTTAAATTTTTGACCTTTCTTAGTACAAATTATTATATACCTGATTTTACATATGTGTATTTATTCATTTTGATGAGTGAAGATTTCAGAAACATAATTAATACTGTGTAGTACAACCTGACTATTTTGATTTTCTTGCTGATCTTATAAATTATTATATCACTGAATTGTTTTTTTCCCTTCACTTTTCCTTTGGTCAACATCATTCATAACTTTTAGTCAATGTACATCTGTGCGTGCGTACGTGCGTGTGTGTGTGCATGTGTGTGTGTGTGTGCATG